TGCCCATCTTCCCGGTCGGTTTGAACCGCCGGCATTCTGGTTAGTAGTCAAATGCCTTGGTGCCATTAGGTTGGCTCCAACTCATAGCAACCGTGTGTACAATGGCACGAAGCGCTTCCCAGTCCTGTGCTGTCCTCACAATCCTTGAGCCCATGGTGGCGGCCCCTGTGTCCATGCCACTGAGGGTCTGCCCCTCTCTTGCTGCCCCTCCACTTCCCCCAGCATGTCCTCCTCCAGGGACCGGACCCTCCTGATAATCCAAGGTATGTGAGACTAAGTCTCACCATCCTCACTTGTCAGGAGCCTTCTGGTTGGATTTCTTCCAAGACAGATGTGTCCATTCCTCTGGAAGTCCATGGGATATTCCATATTCTTCACCAACACCATCATTCAAAGGCATCAACTCATCAGTCTTCGGTTTGTTTTTTTTTTGAAAAACAAAGGTTGTAAAGGCACTTGCAGCAGCTTAAATCACTACAAATTTCAATGACTCCTTGTGGTGGTTATGTCTGTGTGTCAACTTGGCTGGGCCTGGTTGAGTGGCTGGGCAGCTGGTGGTAGTTATACCCCAGGATGAGACTGGCAATCAGCTCCACGGTGGGATCTACCACAAGCAGCTGAGTAACTGCCTTAGGGAATGTGGTCTGCTTCCTGTATATAAGGAGAAGCCTTGGGAAATGGTTTCTAGCTTATGGCATGCTTGGATTCTACATGTAGCCAAGTCGTTGTTCAGCAGCCTGCCATGCTCTGCCGACCTTGAGACTTACAATGGACTTGAATTAATGGCCTGCCATGTGGTTTGGTAACATCTGGACTGTGCCTTTTGACTTGTCAACCTTGGGGCTTCTCAGCCTCAGCTGCCAGCAGCTGTCTGAGTGAAGAAACACCTCTAGCTCCAGTGGGCCGGGAGCAGGAGGCAGAGCTGGACCCCAAGGTCGAGGGGCTTTCACCCAGCCCCTAGAGCCTGGCACTTTGAACTTGGACTTAAAGCCTCCCGAACTGTAAGAGAATAAACTCCTTTTTGTTTAGGCCATCCCATTTGTGGTTTATTCCTGTCAGAGTGGCAAGAGGTAACCAGAACACTCCTGTTCTATGGATTAAGCACCAACTGTGGGTCCCCACGAGTCAGAATTGACTTGATGGCAGTGGGTTGGGTTTGGTGTGTGCCAGGTGCTATCCCTTGAAATTTCCTTCTTTAAAGATGGTAGAATATTCTAGTGTAGGAATGGCACTCATCTTGTTTAACCAATTCCCTGGTGGCAGACAGATGTTTTCAAAATTTTGACTATTATAACTAAGGCTTCTGGGTCAAATGGAATACAGATTTTAAAGGCTTTTGGTATTCCTGCCAAATAACCATTCAGGGGAGAATGGAATGTGGGGCGAGTGCAGTTGCCTGAAGAAGTAGTTTCAGAAGGATAACAAGCATTTCCAACCAGGCTGTGGCATGAGAGAGAGAGCTGGGTGTCAGTTTTATCGTCTGTGAAATGGGGAGGAGGATGGTGCCTGCCATGGACACAGAACAATGCCTGGGCCCATAGCATGTGCCCCAGTGACCCTGCTGTTGTGCCTGCTGACACTGTGACCACTTTAGAAGCAGGGGCCCTTCATAGTGCATCCTGTAAGCTTGACACACACGAGTGGGTGCTCTCCGACCTGTCTTCCCTGGGTTGAGCCGCATGCTGTGGTCTCTCCCAAACACCTTAAGCCACTTGTACTTATAACTGGTGTTAGCTGTCACCGCTGACCCTCTGCTATACCCAGCGTGATGTCCTTCTCCAGGAATTGCTCTTTCTGGATGAGATATTCCAGATACAATGAACCACCCTCACGACCATCTTTTTTTTTTGTGTGTGTACCTTATTGTTAGGGATCTGTACTACATACGAGGTTGCAGCACATACATCTCTGATGTCATCATTCTCAGACGTTCACTCACACATGTTCACAGACCAAATGTATGACGCTGCTGATAATAAAAGGCAGTAATAAAGAAAAGTAAAACCACTAGAGGCATCTGACGCCAGAACCGACTTATGAGGCAGTCATCGGAGTGGAGCCCTGTTAGGAGTCACGGATGACCTGTACGTCTACAAGAAACACCAAGGCCCGTGGGAAACTGGACGGTAGGAGGGCGACAAGAACCAACAAAGGCAGACAACGACTGATGATAAATACACACGAACCACCCACTTACGGAAGTGTCCAAAGTAAACTAAACTTATGAGACAATCAATAGGGAACCAGAGACAGCAATTGGTAAACGAGGACAACTACAAACCAAAAAGATGAATAAATAGTATAGGTCCCGACATTGCAGATGGTCAGGAAGTCAAGACGGGCCTGTCTGCTGCTGGGCCCTGGCCTGTCACCCACTGCTCACCCTCCTCTCCCAGAGCCGCTGTCTGCTCCAACCCAGCCTTCAGGTGCAGTGCTGGGGGCTGCTGATCCCAGGTGGCCGTCACTCGGCTGGGTGCTGCCCCTGTGGTTGGAAGAGAAGCCTCTGCCGACTCTGCTCGGGGTTTTGTGTGGCTCCACGTGCAGCCTCCTGCGCTCAGGACAAGCCCCAGCCCACCCCATCAGCAAGTGCTCCTATGTTCCTCCAAACCAGTGGGCTGGGGGCCAGATAGAGTTGAGAAACAGCACAGGAGGAGGCTGGCCTGATGGCCCACAGGGCAAGGGGCAAGGCGTTTGGGGCTGCCACACACCATGAGCCCAGGGCAGGGGACGAGGCTCTCCCAGCCAGCCAGGGCCTCCTTCCCTCAGCCCAGGCCTCTCTGTTGCGACCGGGGCTCTGGGGCCCCTGCTCAGTAGACGGTGGCAGGCCAACTACGCTGGGGTCCTGATCAGTTACTGGCTGCCAGCTTCTGTCCCACTGAGGAGAAAGAATGCGCAACCTGGGGCACTGCCTGTCCGACTTGCCCTGTCTGGCATCAAACACAGAGCACGAGCCAGGTGGAGGCAATGGCTGCAGGGCCTGTAGAGTCGGTGGATGCGCTGCCGTGTGAATCCTCAACAACAAAGACACTCTGAGGTCCTAAGCCCTGTACCCGTGAATGGGAGCCTGTCTGGGGGAAATGGGGGGCTGCTTCTATTATGCTATCGTGGCCATACTGGAGCACGGTGGGTCCTGACGCCTGCTGAGAGGTGTCTACACAAAGAGTAGACAGACACACAGACACATGGTGGCAGGAGGAGAGAGCATAAGGGAACCCACCACCAAGCCAAGGAGCTCCCCAAATGCCCCAGGCTCCTGACAAGGCAGGGCCCGACCCTAGAGCCTCTGCAACTGTGCAATGGTCAATTCCTATTCTTTCAAGCCACCCCCTTGTATTTTTGTTACTGCAGCCCTAAAAGCTAAGATGCCATCCTTGACCCCCCTTGTCTCCCTTTGTCTACAGGGCATCCGGCAGCCCCTGCTAAGTGCTCTATGGAGACCCACCTATGCTGGGTTCACTGCCTTTCCCAGGCCCAGTGGCCTTGCTCTGCCCTGGCCGAAAAGCAGGAGGCAGGAGCCACAGGCGCCAGGGAGGAGAGACTCAGGGCAGAGCTTGTGCTGGGGCATCTGGGCCGGGGAGTCTGTCCTTCTCTGCAGCTGGCTGCTTGACGGGTCTGGGCAGGGGCCTGAGCCTGGCCCCTTCCTTCATTGAGTCAGTCAGTCTGTGAACGGATCTCCCTCAGGGCCTACATTGCCCCATGAGCTGGGAGCACAGCCCTAGTCCGGGTCCCACCGCTACCGGGGGCCTCCACGCTCCCGGGCGTGAGTTACCTTTCAGAGTGTGGGTCGGAGGCCTCGAAGACCCCTTCACCAGCCAAGTCCCTCTCGGGCTCTCTGGGGCTGGGGGCCTCCTTGTCTTTGTGACCTGAGGGAGACCTATGGAGGAAGGAAACAGAGGTTACTCACCCCTCAGCCACTCACACTCATCCCCCTGCAGCACCACTTGCCCCTCAGAGCCCTCCTCAGACCTGCGTCCCCACCCCCAAAGCGGTCAGTCTGGTGGCAGGGCTCAGCGAGACTGTCCCTTCTGGGGTGGGAGATTCCTGCCTCCCTCACCTGACAGCACTAGCTTTGATGCTGGGTCCCCAGGCCGGGCGTGTGGCCTCGAATGCACCAGGCACTCACACTGCCGTGGCTGCTGAGTGGCTGGCGGGAGGACCAGCCCCAAGGCCGCCCTCATTTGCATCCCGCCCTGCAGACCCCACCTCCCTAGAATGGGTGCCAGGGCCCAGCCAGCTGCAGGCCCCCACACCTCGCTCCTTCTAGGTCTGGGGCCGCCAGGTGGAGTTCCATCTGGGGGGTCGTGATCGGCAGGTGGACGTCCTCGCCTCTCCTGCTGCAGTCAAAGGAGACAGCCAGTGAGCTGCCACTGCTAAGCCACCACGCCCGTCTGTGCTGGACGGCCAAGGACGGGCGGCCCTAGGAGCCTCCTGGTTATGCAGAGAGGCCCCCGGGCCCTCATTCTTCTTTGTGGCTCTTCTCTCTCCTCTTTGGCCTGGAGCCTTCTTGGTAGGGCAGCTGAGCTTGGCCCCTGACCCCAGAGGAGGGAAGGGGTCCTTCACAGCTCCCTCATCTGCACACAGCCCTCCCTCGGGCGCAGCCTTGGCCCTGTCTACAGGCAATGGCACGGAGAGCCCTACGGTGCCCGGCAGGACTGCAGCACCCGCGGGCTGATGATGACCTGTGACCGCCCTGATGCCCAGGGAGGGCCGGTTCAGGGCCGGGGCCTCGCGATGAGCACACCCAGTGCTCAGAGGGCCCCGTCCGAGGGTCTGTTTGTTGCTCCAGGGCTCTCTTGCTCAGAGTACCCCCACGGGCTGCCGTCTGAGAGCCTGCCCTCAGCCACTCTTCTCCAGGTCTGTGACGTGACACTTCGGCCATCCTTCTGGACCCAGCCTAGCTTGACCCACACCTTCCTGAGCCTGGAGCCCACAGGCAGGGCTGCAGGCTGACTCTGCTATGCTGTGGGGACCTGGGGGTACCGGAGCTGCTTGTGGAGGTGCAGGTGGACCCAGGACGGGTGGAGGGACATGGGGAAACCACAGGATGGGCTTGAGGGGACGCGCATGGTCAGGCAGGATCCTGGGAGGAGAAGGTGGAGGACCAGGGTAAAGGTGAGCAGCTCTGCTTCCCAAGTCCTCCTCACAGGCCTGGAACATGACGTGGGTGTGCGTGGGGGGCTGCCTGACTGTGGGATGTCGCAGAGGAAACTGGGTCCCTGAGCCGCTGCCCCAGCTGCTGCCTCTCCTTTCTCTTCCCGCCCACGGGCGTCCTTCAAGCCCTTTTCTGCGGTGCCTTCCAGCCTCCCATCCCCTGGCAGCCCCAGCAGCCCCACCACCTCCCCTCGATCACAGCGGGGCTGAGAGCTGCTGGGGTCGGAACACTCTGGAAGGCACTAGGGCATACGGCCCCAATACTGGTCTGTGAACATCCCGCACGGCCCCAGCCATCTGCGGGAGCGCGGTGACAGTGATACTGACAGTGGCCTGTGCCAAGGAGTGTGCGACTTGTCACTCTGCCAGGAGAGGGAGGATGTTAGGGAGAATGGGGCTATTCGATTCTCACTATTCGCGGGCCAAGTGGCAGGTCGATCCCCACCAGTACTGAATTAGCAACTCAGAATCGACTTCAGCTGGAGACATGCGCGCGACTCTGCGCATGTGCATGCCAGCAAACTCCCGAAAAAGCGCCAGGAGGGTTTTAGAGAATAAGGCAGTTTGCGCCCGGAGCCGCATTTCCCGCAGAGGCCAGCAGGCGGCGATATTTTGCCACTTTCTGCATTTGAAACCACCAGAGCTCCTTTTTTGGTTTTTTGCATTTGGAACGGGGCCACGGTTCTGGCTCCCAGGGCCATAAGGCCAAGTTTGCTCCTTCTCCATATAACGAGCAGCTCCTCAGAGACCCAGAGAAGGTGGCCATGGCCTGTAAGCCCTGAGGCCTTCATCTGTCCCTCTCATACTCCCAACGCAGCACCCATCTGGCATGTCCTCTCTCCCAGGGGGCCCTTCATGCAGTGTGGCCTGAGCTCAACGCAGCCTTGTCCCCACCAGCCTGACCCCTTCAGTCTTCCCCATCTTGGACACGGCACTTCCATCTTCTTCCAGGAGCCCCTGGCTGGTGCCCAAGGTGCTGCCATCGGATGGAGGGGGGAGTCCATGCAGAGGTGCCTGGCTAGAAAGGCCTGGGAGTGTGCTTCTGACCAGTCAGCCGCTGACAACGCTGTGAAGCACAGTTGTGCTCCGCCACACCACGAGTTGGGCTGGGCTTCATGGCAACGGGCTCGGTGTCTGGGGCTTTTGTCCTCCTCCAGCCCCGTCCACACTGATTGCTAGCTTGCAAAGAGCTGTCAGGCCTGTCCACTTCTTCGAAAGTTATGATTCACGAAAGGTATGACGGGGACAGTCAGCCAAGCAGGGAGGATCCTGGGAGGGGGAGGGAGGAGGGGGACCCACACTCCCGGCTCCCTGAGGCACAGCGAGCAGGAGGCAGGGCCAGGGCCTGGGGCACGGGCAGGGGCAGGTGTCTGCGCCAGCCGGGGCGGCGTCAGGAGAGCTGGAACTGCCCTGGGGTCCACGCAGCCAGCCTAGAAGTGCCCTGTAGTGGGGGCACTCACCCCTCTGGCACTTTAAACAGCGCTGCCAGGCTGTGGCACGCTCAGTGGGACTTGGCACCATCCAGTGCAAGTACAAGGTGGTACTGACCACTCAGCCTGCAGCCTGGCTCACCTGCCAGGCCTGGAGGGAGATCACAAGGCCCCCGCCCACTGCCCTGCCCATCTGTCCCTGCTTCTGCCATGTGAACAGTGCCCATGCCACCTACCTGTGCTCCCAGCTCCCAGCTGGGCTTGGCGGGCCTGGCACGTGCTCCATGCAAACACTGCTCGACACCTTCGTCCTGCCTCCATTGCTGCTGGCAGAGAGAAGGCAGCTGTGAGTGTGAGAGGCTCCTTCTGATGGGAGGTGAGGACAGCAGTGGCCAGCCGGGCCTGGCCGACTTGGGGAAATGCTGGGAGCAGGTCTCGGAGGGGTAGACCAGCGCCACAGCGGCCAGCCCTCCAACTTTGGATGCTGGTCTGCCACCAGGCTCAGTGGCACGAGGGTTAAGGTGACACAGATGTGTACCAGACAAGAGCAGGGGACGGGCTCCCTCAAGGCCAGACTGGTTTGCTCCTTTGTCCCTCAAGGCAGCCAGCCCGCCAGCCCTTACGGACTTGGGCCGTCCTGCCACTGGGCACATGGAGACACTGAGCCTGTGGCCCAGCAGGGAGGTGACCTGGACCATGTGGCTGAGATTAGGGAGCATTACCTAGGCAAGGCAGAAGTGGCTCTGGCCAGAGCAGGTGAGTCCTGGCGCTTCTCAGAAGGCCCGGCCTCTTCCACAACCTCCACCCTTTGGGCAAGAAGAGTGGCAGTGGGTGTCTGTCTGGGCCACGGCCCTCTCGGCAGCCCAAGAGGAGCAGCAGTGGGTGCCCGGGGCCACAGCCTTCTCGGCAGCCCACGAGCCTGCGGTAGTCAGCCTGGGGGCCCGGGGGCTCCAGCGTGGGAGAAGCACTGGGTTGACTCACCAGAACTAGACTCCCTGCCATGGAATTGATCTGACTCATAGTGACTCGCACTGGGTTTCCTAAGCTATCAATCTTTACGGAGGCAGACTGCCTCATCTTTCTCCTGCTGAGTGGCTGCTGGGTTCGAACCACCAGCCTTTTGGTTAGCAGCCAAATGCTTTAACCACTGCATCACCAGAGCTCCTTACTGGGTTCATTAAAACCAAACCCACTGCCATCAAGTCAATTCCGACTCATAGCGACCCCCATTGGGTTTCTCAGGTGGTACGTCTTTATGGAAGTAGATTGCCCAGTCTTCCTTCCATGGAGTGGCTGGTGGGTTTGAACGGCTAACCTTCTGGTTCACAGTCAGATGCCTTAGGCATTGTGCTACCAGAGCCCCCAAATTCATGTCTGCCCAGTACCTGTAACTTTGTGGATGGGATAAGGATGAGGTTGTACTGCAGTGGGGTGGGCTCTGACCCAAAGACGGTTGTCCTTAGAAGAAAGCCATAAGGAGACCAAGGCAAGGGGTGCCTAGGCTCGCTGGCCACTGCCAGAGGAGCAGACCGTCCCCTGCAACCTCCGGGAGGAGCACGGCCCCATCAGCACCCTGCTTCTGGACCTGAGACAATAAGCAACTGGACACTCACCAGAAGGTAAGAACACACCGTGACCTGTCCCCTCCTTTGGGCTCTACCATGCCCGCTCTTGTGTTCCGGCTGCCTCTCCGGCCCTCCCACACAGCAGGCTTGGCCCTCTGCCCGCTGCTCAGGCAGCCAGCTCCTCCTGCACTCAGCTCAGAAGCCACCTCAGGTGGAGGCACCGGCCACCCCACTGCAGGGGACCCTAACTTGCAGTGCTCGTCCTTGGGCCCAACGTCTTCTCCTTCCCTGATGGTCTCACCCCCCTATTTCAGCGGGTGTCCTGGCATCTTCATGGTTGCCTACAGTACCCCGGTCACCCTTTAGGGTCCAGCTCCAATGTCACGGTCACCTCCCAGGGGAACTTCTCTGATGGTGTTCATCACCTTCAGCCTTTGACTGTCTCCCTCAGTCCTCTGTGAGGTCTGCGTGGTGACAGGGGCCACACAGATGCATGAGGGCAGTAGGGGAAAAGCGACTTTGGTTTCAAAGCCCCAGAGCGCCTTGGGTAACACGATAGCTCCATCTTGGCTAGGGGCCCGGCTCCGTTAGCCACTGGCTCATGGAAAGTTCCCGTCACCAGCTGTGGGCCTTGGCACGCTCACAGCCAGGTGCCTGCCTCCACCGAATCAGCTGCTGGAGCCACACGCCACCTCAGCCACCCAGAAGCTTGCCTGGCCTGGAGCCGCCCTCCAGGGGGAAGTCACAGCCCTTCACAACGCCCCCTGCTCAGACAGTGCCCACCACACCCAGCACCGCACCCCTGCAGACAGAAGCCTTCTCTATGGCTGACACTCACCGCTTAGCAATGAACGGGGTCTGTGGCTCCTGGGTAGGGCTGCTGGAGGGGGAGGGGCAGGTGAGATCTGGACCCCTAGGTCCCATTCCCAGAACCCCCATGACTTCTAGAAAATGAGTCTGATCGGCTCTCAGCCAAACGACAGAAGTCCCCCCTCCAGGGGGAAGTCACAGCCCTTCACAACGCCCCCTGCTCAGACAGACCTGCTGTAGCAGGTCAGAGGGCGGCATTTGCCCAGGGATCAAAGGGGCAGAAGGCAAGAAGTGGTAGAGAGGGATGAGGCCAGAGCAGAGAAGAGTGAAGAAAACCAAAGACGCATGGAGACAATCAGTCCGGGACGAGTGGACCGTGAGGACCTCCGCCTATAGGACCCTGACACCGGAGCTAGATGGTTCCTGGCTACCACTGTCAACCACTCAGAAAGGGTTCACTGCAGGAGAGCCTGGATACCGTGGAAGAACACCGTGGAACAAAACTCAAAATCTTAAAAGAAGAAGACCAGGTTTGCTGGTCTGCTAGAGCCTTGTGAGACCCAGGACTAGGGCCCCTAGTTACCCTTCAGGTCTGGAACTGAACTCATGCCTGTGGCTTCCAGCCAAACAACGGACAGGCATATGGGGTGAACACTGACATCAGGTAGATATACTCCGTGGAGCGGTCAATTATGGGAGAACAGAAGGGCAGTGTTTGCTCAGGGAGACAGCTCAGGGGCCAGGAGTGCAGAGGAAAGAAGGACACAGGGAAGAGGTAACGACAAGGAGCAAGTGGGAGGAGAGCTGTTACGCGGTGGGGGTGGCAATGAATGTCACAAAACAAGGTGGGTGGGAATTGTGTGGGAGACCAATTTGTTCTGTACAATTTCACCCAAATCAAAATCAAAAGTTAAAGAAAGAGAGGGAGTTGGAAAGTCCTAGAAGGTTCCACTGAGAGGGCCCTTAGGGTTGATCTCAACCCACCCCGTCACCTGTGCAGGAAGGGACTTGGAACCTGTGGTGGCTGAGCCCAGGCCCCAAGGCCGCCTCACCTGGCGCTCTTTTTCGCTGCTGACAAGACGTAGGAGTGCTCCCGGGGAGCCGTCCTCCTGAGCACACTGCTCGCAGCCTCTGACCTGCAAGGGAGATGGGCGTGAGGTGGGGGGCGCGGCTGCTCTTGCGGCCCCGGTGAGGCCGGGGAGGCTGGATTCCTGAGCCACAGCAGACGGAGGCTTGGCCCCATCCTGGCCCACCAGCCACTGGGTGGCATGATGCCAGCCCCTGGACAGAGGGTGGAGGGAGGGGCTGAAGGCTGCAGAGAGAAGGGGAGGGTGGGCTTTGGGGTGAGGGGCACACAGAGCCACCCGATTGCACTCATACATGGCATCTCTGCAGGCCGAGTGGCCTCTTCCCCCCGGGCCCCTGCCCTGTTCCCTGGGATGCCTGGTGGGCACCGGTACCTTCTTCTCTGCTCATCAGATGTGAAGGGCATCTCCTCCTCCTCCTCGGTTGGCCCTGCTGAGCTGCGCCGGACATTGTAGGGCGCCCTGGGGTGCAGAGAGGGCTTGAGGCTACCCCACCTCCACCCTGCCCCCCTTCTGTGAGGTATCACTGCTCTGGGCCATTTCTTCCTTCTGGAGAGCCAGCCCTCACCTGTCTCTCCCTGGTTCTACCCTAACTTCCTCCCAACCCAGCTCTCTGGGGGCCCCAGGCCACAGCTGCAGTGGCCAGAGGTTTCAGCGGGCTTCCCTGGGCCCAGTGTGTGGCCCACCTCACGGCCGAGGAGGCAGAGCCAGGCCCGGGCTGGCTACTCACAGCTTCTTGTAGTCCTCGGTAGTCAACTTGTAGCCAGAGGATGAGGCCCGGGGGGGCCCGATGCTAGCCACTCGCACCGGACTGGAGGGGCTGGAAAGGCAAGGCTGCTGTGTGGCCACCTGCTGGCCACTCGTCTCCCCTGGCAGGCAGACAAGGGGCCCGGGGCCTGTCTTCTTTGCCGTCAGTTAGCCAGACCCCCCGGACTACCACACCCCCGAGCAGGGCAGCCCCCACCAGGCTCTGCCCTGCTGAAAGTGGTCTCGAGCTCACCAGGAAATGCCACCTCCACACGGGGAAGGGCATTGCTAGGGCCCAGGCACTGCCAGCCTGGCTGCCGAGAGACAGGAACCCCAGAGTGGCCCACTGTGCAGCCTGCCCCAGGGCCCTTCCCTACGCGGGAAGTGAGTTGCACCTTGCCCCGCTCTCCCTGCTGCAGCCTGGGGCCTGGCCCTCATGCAAGGGGCCTCTCCCCACTGGCAAGTGGGCTGGCTAACCCCAGACACACCTCTGAGGCGCACCATTGGCCTTGGGGAAGAGCTGCTGGGGCTGGGACGAGCTGTCAATGGGCTTGGTGAACACTCCCCTAGAAGAGAGAGCAGAAGCCGGTGGGAGAAGTCAGGGGTATGCGGTGGGCATGGGGAGGGGGCAGGGCCCGCGTTACCTACCTGATGATGTAGCCCACGGGGGCCCGTGTGTTCACAGACCTGCCGAGGACAGAGCGGGTGAGGGGAGGCGAGGCCCACTCGAGGGGCCTGCCACCCCGCTTGATCCCACAGCACAAGGATCAAGCTGGTGCTGGTAGAGAGTTGCTGCTGTGAAGGGATTTCCACGTGACGAGCATTGAAGGCCTTAAGTAAAGCAGGTCACCCTCCACAATGTGGCGGGCCTCGTCCAATCAGTTGAAGGCCTTAAGAGTAAGACCGGACGTTTCTCCAGGGAGAAGGCTTCTGCCTCCAGAGTGCCACAGACAGCCTGCCACGAGTCCCTTCTCTCCTCCCCCACCTGGCCTACAGGTCCGGGACACAACACTGCTGGACACCCAGTCCTCACGATCCCACAGGCCAATGCGCAAAATCAAGCTCTCAGTCCGTGTGTGGATATGTACGTATGTTTAGACATAAATAGCTACCTGGGGGACTAGGCCTGTACGACTCTCAGAGTAGCACACAGCGCAAGACCACAGTCTGCCAGGGCCCTCTGAGAACAGTGGTCCTTCTTAGTAGCAGTTTGCATCACCATTGACAGCTAGAGGCATGGAGGCCCAGCGGGGGAGGCTGCTGGCTCTGAGGCCCCACAGCAAAGCCAGGGGCCTGGACCTAGTGACCCCTCCACTCCCAGGAGGGAAGCTGCCTCCAGGCCCAGGGGAAAAAGCCCATCCTCACAGTGTTCACCAGGAGGCGGGTCCAAAGGACTCCACCCGAGGCCCCCTGTGATGGCGACTGCTATGTGTCCACTCGGCTGGGCCAAATACTCATCTAGCCGCTGTCCTGAAGTACTGACTTCATCAGTGTGATCAAATCAGCAGGCCTTGGGCAGAGCCCATGTGTGGTGTGTAACCACCTTCCATAACACAATGTACTGTAAGGCGATCAGTGGCTCGGTTGAGGCATGCCATCATGGAAGGGCGGCTCCTGAATCACCTCCGAGTTACAAGACAGGCAGGATGCACACACACACACACGCACACACACATGGGATGACAGATGTCATGTCAGGATCATCCACAAGCCAAGGAGCCAAGGGACACCTGGGACCACCAGCAGGAAGGAATCCAGCCGGCCAAGACCGTTGATGTGCACTTCTAGCCTCCGCCACTGTGGGGCGATACATGGCTGCTCTTTAAAGCCACTCACTTGTGGGATTGTGGGCACAGCAGCCCCCGGACACTCAGACAGACCCTGTGCACAGCAAGGCTGCTGAGCTAGGCGTGCCTTCTCGGCTCAGACCCCTGCCTGTCCCTAGTCCTCCCTGCTAGCTGCCTGGGCCCCACTCCTTACCTGGCCTTCTGGGCTTCCCCGGGGGACGAAAAGGAGGTGGCCCGGCTCCGGCTGGAAGGTAGCTCTCTGGGGAGAGAGGGGTCCCAAAAATGTGGAGGCAGGCCTGGGGAGCTCAGGGGGTGCTCCCACACCAGGAGCTTGGCCAGTGTCCGCTGGCCCCAAGGCCATGCCCACCTCACCCCCACAGGCTCCAGCTCACCTTGGTCCCCTATTCCCGGGGCTGAGTCCTGCCCTCAGCGGGCTTGCCAGCCCCTCGCTCCTCCCTCCCCCCCACCCCAGCCGGCTGTGGTTGCAGGCCAGGGGGCCCCAGCGCCTCTAGCCACTGCTGGCCGGGACTCACATGGTGCGCCCCTCGGACTCGTCCTGCTTGGCGATCCAGCTCTTGTCCCCCTTCAGTGTGGTTCGCACCCTCATCTGCTGCAGGACGTTGTTCCGCTCCTCCTGGCCACGGGGCGGGGCCTTCCCTGCAGGGCAAGGCGGCAGCCTCAGAGGAGAGCCCGGCCTCGCGGTCCCCGTCCAGCCCGCCACGTGTGCTGCCTGGCTGATGGGGCCAGGCTCACCTTTGGGGCTGCTCATCGTGTCTCCTCTGCAGGTCCCTTCTTCGTGGTTTCGGTGGGGCTGCTGGGGACAAAGATGAGCACATGGCTTGCCATTTCACGCACTCGTGGTGGCCTCCAAGGTCCCCGGCACATCGGCACCATCCCGACTGTTCTTTGCGTCTCGGGGGTGGCTACGGATGGTGGCCAGAGGCCTGGAGCTGCTTGCCCAGAGAAGATGGGCTCCCAGGGACTGTGCGGCCAAGGTGTTAGCTGATACCGGCAGACCATGAACCTTTCTAGAGGCTTCTCATGGTCAGACCCTGGGCTCTGGGGGCAAGAGTTTGCAGTGCGGAGCCTTCGCAGTGCAGGTGGAGGGGGTTGGGGGGAGGGGAGGGATACTTGGGCTTCGGTAATAGCTCTCTCCCCTTGGCAGCTGATACACATTGGGCAAGTGGGATAACCTCAGAGCTGCCTCAGTTTCCCTATTTGTAGAAGAGGAATCAGAAAGTCTCCCTTTGAACTGATGTTATTATGCAAGGGCTGTTGCCACTGGGCACTGCAGAGATGGCTGGGCGGTGGGACTCGCCACCTGTCCTTGGCCAGGAGAGGGGTCCTCTAGCTGTTGGTGGCCCCGGTCATGTGACAACAGCCCAGGGCCCTTTGCTTTAGGGTTGGCCCCACCTGCCAGCTCCTCATGGCTTCTCAGGGGCCTAGTTGAGGGTAGCCCTTTGTGGAGGGAGGGCTTTCTTGTCCTCTCCGTGTCGCCACGCCCTCTGGTGGCTCCGTGGGGCTGCCTGGCCAGCAAGGGGTGGGCTACAGGGGTCTCTGACACCTAAGCAGCACTGGGCTCTCCTGGGGGGACCCAGTCTGCATGGCTGTCCCTCTGGCCTGCCACCTTCTGGGCTCCTCCAGGGTGGCCAGCTGCCAGGGCCTGGGAATGTCTCCGTGGAGGTTGGGCCCACAGGCCCGCTAGTGCGGGGCCACTGACACAGGCAGCACAAGGGGCCGCCAGCAGACTCAATTAACCACATTAGCAAGAGCTGGCATGCCCATAAATTTCCCCAGGAGCAGCCTGGGCAGCCCAAGGCAGCTGCATGCCAGGAATGGCACCTCCTCACTGCCAATGGGAAACCACGTGCCAGTGCCAGCACCAGGGCCAGGGCCGCCACGTGAGAGCTCCGTGAAGCCCAACTCCCAGCATGGGTCGGCCCCCACAGGCCCAGTGTCCCTGTCCCAATAGCCAGGCTGAGGCTGTGCAGATGGAGAGGGTGGACCCGTGATCTCCTGGTGCCTGCAAGTTGCCCTCAGCCACTAACCGACCGTGAGACCTGGTGAGTCCCATGCATCATTCTTGCTACTCAGTCTCTAGGCGCAGGGCATCCCAAAGACATACGCCTTCCAGAGGCCTCAGGAACTGTGGCCGCCTTCAGCCACCCACAAACCTTGTAGGCGGGTGAAGGTCATCCACGCACGTATCAGGAGCTGACTCCATCCCGGGCCCGGTACTAGGCCTAGGAGTTTTCAGTAAACTTAGGACAGACTCGTGGACACAGAATGACAGAATAACAGGCAGGGGGCTTGTTACGGATAGACTTTTGTCTCCAAACAACACGGTCAAGTCTTAATCCCTGTCCCTGAGATGTGACCCTATTGGAAGGAAGATTGTCTTTGGTTACCAGTTCAGTTAACAAGGTCATACCAGCAGAGGGGCTGAGTGGCAGTGAGAAGGACAGACACAGGGACAGTCCCACACAGCAAGGAGACAGACTCCAAGTGATGACAGAGGCAGATGCCTCTGTGAGTAGGAGCGCCAAGGACTACCAGTGGCAGCAGAAACCCGGAGAGGCCTGGACTGGTTCCTCCCTCAGTCTCCCAGCTGTGAGTGGATAAACTTCTGTCCCTAAGAGCCATCCACTCTGTGGCGCTTTGTTACGGCAGGCCCTAGGAAACTAAGACAAAGGCCCTGGTGACTCCCAGGAGGAAGGGGCAGGGGGATATGCGGGAGCCCACAGCCGGGATGGGGACAGTTGAGGCCCCAGTGAGAGTGAGGAGCACTGGCTGAGTTTCTGAAGTCCTTTACTTTTTGATACATGAATAAATCACATCTGGGAAGACAGGTCAATAGGACCTGGGAGTCTTGCCTCAAAAGAGGGTGGTCGCTCTCTGGGACAAGGGGCCTTTGAAAAGTTGGCGAGTCTCAGCCAGATGGAGATAGTGCCTGGCTTCCCCCCGCACCTTGCCTCCTGTGCCCCAGCCCCTGGTTCAGGCCACCACCCCTCTGATCTCCTCCATGGTCTACCTGCCTTCCTCTGTGCGCCTTTACACAGCGCTCACGGCTCCTGGCCTCACTTGGCCCACCTTGTCCTCGCTTCTCCTTCAGCTTCTGGGGCTTCTCCCATAGTCTCCAAGATTTGGGCCAAAGTCACCAGGGCCCCATGCCCACAAAGCCAGAAGCTGTGCCAAGCCCTGCCCTGCCTGCAGGTCCAGCCTGAGCCCCCCACCCAGGCCATCTCTGTGCCCACAGGGCTCTCATCTCTGCCAACTCTTCACAGCACAGATCTAAGCTCCTGGGTCCTGCTGACCTGTCTTCCCAGACATGACCTGTGGCATAGGGCGATGTGTGTCCTAACCCCTGAAGCTGTGAACCCAAATGACTGTGTAGTGCAGAGGGTCTTTGTAGAAGTGACCGGTTCAAGAGAAATCATAGCAGTGGGACGGGTGCCAATCCCATCTGAAATGTCCTTATGAAAGAGGAGAAGAGACATGGGAAACAAGGAATGGGTGCCAGGTGACGATGCAGCTACAAGCCAAGGAACACCGGGGGCCACCAGAAGCTGGAAGACACAGGAAGGGGGTCCCCTAGGCCTTCAGAGGGAGCACAGAACTGAGAGATGAGCCATTTCTGTCGTGTAAAGCCTCCTCCCCCATGTGCGCCTTTGTTCCGACAGCCCTAGGAGCCCATTAGTGCAGACATCCAGAGGTACCCAGCCCGAGAGCAAGCACTTGCCCTCACTCACTTCTCCTGCCCCCTTCCCTAAGCAGCCACTCCCTGAACCTCAGTTTCCTCTTCTGTAAGGTGATGGAGCCCTGTGGCTAGGTTCCCTGGCAGCTGACCCGCACTCTTCCCCATCCCACAGGAATCTTGATCCTGGGGAGTGGCTTCCTCCTCGAGTGGTCCATGTTGAGTGTATTCAGAGTTGGGACAGCCACTCCTGGGACACTTTCAGAGTAGGACAGCCCTGTTGCTCCCTTGGGGAACCTTGGAGAATCCCACGTGACTGTGCCAACTCCAAGCGAGCCCCTACCCTCAGATAACATCAGCCAGGACCATGGCCTCTTGACCAGAAACCAGATGGGGGGTGTCCCCCCACCCCTCCTTCCCATTCTTTCCACCTCTTCCATCAGCCCGTAAGTGTCCTGGAGCAGGCAGGCTGAGGAGCGGCCCAGATGGTGGGCAGGGGAAGCTGGGGGAGGGGCAGGGTGACAGGAACTCCCTGGACACTGGCTCCCCCTCTGCCTTCTCCCTACAGTCCATGGCTTCTCCAGGCTGCCCAGCAACATTGAGGAAGGGGCCCTGATTGGACAGAGGAGGAACGAGGAGCCAATGAGGTGGCGCTGGAGTCTGCTCCCAGACCTGTGGGCACAGGCGTCAGAGGCCAAAGGGATTGGAGCAGGAACCACAGGAGCAGTGCACGCGTCACTATGGGGATTGGGGGGCTTCAGAGACACTGACGTAGGCACTCCGCTGACTTGGGGATAGAGGGGTGGAGGGGGGCAGCGCAGAGGGACGCTAGGGGCAAACTCAGATTAAATTCAGCCTCCACCCTGCCAGGTTCCCCCTTTGATGCACACCCCTTCCCCAAGCCAGCAGTGCCTCCGGCCCACCACTGGCCAATGCCACTCCCCAGAGGAACCCTGGGGACACACCCTAGTTCCACTCTGGGTCCCACTGCACTCAAAGTGGAGGACTGTCTTCAGGAAGGAGCCAGGGCCTCTGCCTGCTCAGCGCTGGGCAGAAATGGCAGGGTCCCCACCCCCTGTGCAGGGGCATCTGCCCAAATGTCACTCTACCCCAGGCCCCTCACCCTGGGCCTGCTGTTGTCTCCACGCTAGCCCACGCAGGATGACAAGACCTTCCGTGGCTCCCCCAGCACAGGTGGGAAGAGCTGAGCCACACCAAGGGAGGGGCAAGGAGGCTGAGCCCACCAGGCCCACCCCAGCCCTGGTGGCAGGGAACAGGATGGCTCCCAAAGTGTGGAGGGGGTGCTTGATGTGGGCAGGGGCCTCCTCGGTAAACCACAAATACCTCCAGCCTCGCCTTCCCAGACCAAGTCACAGAGTGCGATTTGGCCAGAGGGCACAGGAGTCAGGGCTTGTCTGCGTGCACGTGTGCTGCGCACTTGCCACCTATGTGGCTGCAGTGGGTGCCACCGGCAGAGGAGGGCCAGGCTCCTCTCGCAGAGGTGGAGAGATGAGAGGAGCCCGGCTTCCCTTACCCACTGTTCCAACCTTCTGCTAAAAAGAAGACGACATCTAGAGGACTAAGGTGCGCCTGGCCCAAGCCATGACATCTTCGATCTCCTCGTATGCATGTGAACACTGGACAGTGAATAAGGAAGACTGAAGAAGAATTGATACATTTGAATGAAGGTGCTGGTGAAGAATGCTGAATGTACTACAGACTGCCAAAACCAAACCAAACCAAACCAAACTCACTGCCGTCGAGTCGGATCCGACTCATAATGACCCTTCCCCCTTGAGTTTTTGAGGTGGTATCACTACAGAAGTAGATTGCCTAATTTTCCTTCCAGGGAGCAGCTGGTGTGGGTTTGAACCACCAGCCTTCTGGTTAGCAGTCAAGTGCCTTAGGCACCATGCCACCAGGGCGCCCATGGGCTGCCAGAAGAACGAATAAATCTGTCTTAGAAGAAGTACAGCCGGAATGCTCTTCAGAAGGGAGGACGGCAGGACTTCGTCACACTCATTGTGGACGTGTTACCTGGAGGGGCCAGACTCTGCAGGACGCTGCGCTTGGAA